GTTTGGTAAATTCCACCAGATAGGTAGATTAACCTGGCTTTTTCTACTGGCATTGTGTATGTAAATAATTGCATATCAACCTTTCTCACTCTAAACTGTCATTATTTCACAGTGTAACCTGTGGACCTTCCTTTTATCTTTCAGATAACTAAACTTTTCTAGTCTTGAAAGCATTGTCAGCCATTCTCTTGGACAGGACTTTGTCAACTTTGGGTGCCCAAGTTGACAGCTGACTGTCTTCATCCAGCCTGCCTTTTAATTGTTGAAGAAGATTAATCTAGTTTCAGACTCGGGGTGTAACTTAGTGGTCTAGTAGTTTCTTAGCATGCACAATGCCCAGGATTCAACCCTAGCTTTAGTGGCTAGAGGGGAAGAAAAGTTGAGAACCCAATTACATCCAGAGTGTATCTGACAACCAAAGAAGAGGCTCCAGAGAGGCTTTTTATTTCTCTAACCTCCTGCCACCCCATAGCTCCCTCTATGAAATGAATTTGGTGAATGTATTTTCTCTAAAGTAATCATTCATTCTTGGATGAAAAAGAATCAACTCTATATGAATAAAGTTCTGATATATACATATTGAGAACATACATACAGGTACATAGCTTCTTCAGGTCCATGGTTGAGGAGACTGGCTGGTAAGATGGCTCAGTGGGAAAAGGTACTTGATGACAAGCCTACAGTTCTGATTTCTTCCCTGGGACCCACAGGGTAGAAGGAGACAATAAACCTTCCAGAAACCGTCCTCATTTCTTCATGAATGTGTGCATGTGCACCCACGTAACCACCATAACTGATTTAAAAATCACTCAGAAAACAATTGTCAAAGAAGCCTGAAGATCTCTGTCAGTATTATCTTGTTGTGTCTTGCTAGTAAACACTGGAAGGGTTGGGCTACTTTATCTACCCCTTGAAAACTGTCAGTGTGGCTGTTCTCAGGGAGACTGTGATTTGCATTATCACCATGGAGAAGAGCAAGAGTTCCATGTATTACATGCTGCAGTTCCCAAGGTGAGGAAAAGCCTCTTCTCCCGGAGAGACAGCCAGCAGTTAGGGGTCACTATTGAGATAAAAGTCTGCACCCTTTCCTGACCACATTTCCAAATGATCAGACAGGTTTTTGTGCCAGCTCTCACACCAGGACTCAGTCTATTAGGTTTTGTTCTGTTCTCTCATCCAATTGATTACAAATGGGCTGCATTCCCCTAAGTTGCCTTTCTCCCTGACCCAGACAGCACACAAACACTCCCAGGCTAAGTATATTCCTGATGGTCACTGATGGCAACAAATAAGGCATAGTGTTCCCAGTTCTTGCAGACACTCAAAGTTCCCAAACTTGCAGGAGCCTCCTGGTGTGTCCTTTTGACCACATAGTTCAGTGTACCATTTCTGACCTTGGCTCCTTTCCCTATCTGCAGCTCAATATAGACACTTTGTGCCCCTGAGACAGAAGCCTGGATAGCCTCACCTGTGCCCACGTCCCTAGCTTCCCTAGGAATGGTTCCTGAGATGGGCAGCAGCTCCTGGCTCCCATGCCTGCACTATACAGTGTAGGACCTGAGGAGTGTTTGTTATTTCACAAATAGTGTCAGAACCATTCCTTCTGGACAGGAACAGGCCCTAGCCAGGTGTCCTTGCTTCATTCATACATCAGCTGCCATAGTATCACCATACTTCTACAC